ATGTCACCAGGTTACATCCCATCAATAAATTTTCAAACTGCATCTGATTCTGAAGTCCCTTTTCTCACTTCATCATAAGTGCCCCAATGTACACACTAATACCATTACAATAAGAGTGTATCAGAAACAACGCTGAAATACAACCTAGGAAGGGGCAGAAATTAAGAATCCGATTGGGCAGCACAGGGTTGGTTGGTTTCCCAGGAAGCCTTTGCGGTCTAGAGAGCTACTAGGAGGTGTGGTGGCCGTGAAGCAGCAATCAAATCGACCAAATGGCAGCTGAGACGGGTCTGTTTTACAAATAAACAGAAATGGGAAGCCTGGGCACAGACCTTAGAGCTGTGTGCAAGAACCAGGTGGGGCCAGGCTTTAGGAATGCAGAATTATAACTGCATTCCCAAGCCTTAATCCAGCCTGGAAACTGAAGGAAAGGAAAACCCTGGTCAAGGGAATGAAGCACAAGGACATCATCAGAATAAAAGAAGTCAAGCTGTTACAATAAAATATCATAAGCTCCTTCACCTAAATAAATGTTTCTTACAGTCCCAGAGGCTGGAATCCCCGGGTGAAGATGCTGGCCCACTGCTTCAGTGGTGTGAGGCCCTGCTATGGTATGAATGTGTCCCATCCAGGAGTTCATGTGCTGGAATCCAGCTTGCTCCTCTAGCCAGGAAGTGTTGGCAGGTGGTTATACCTTTGAGAAATGGGGCCTAGTGGAAAGTAATTATGTCACTTGGGACAAAGCCCTCAGAAAGGACCACTGCTCATTCCAGGGAGTGGCCTGGTGCTTGTGAGAGGGGGTTTCTATAGAGCAAGGGCACTGACTGCGCTTGGCCCCTTCTGGATATACCCACAAACATGTTCTTTGGGGAAGAGTGTGCCAGGGCTGTACCCAGGGCCTCCTGTAGTAAGCATGTGCTCTTCTCCTGAACACATCTCCCAACACATCTGTCCACAGCAGAGCTTCTGTAAGAGGGGCGAGGGATCGACCCGCATGTTCATGATCTCTACCACGGCTAAGCGCCTGCTGAGGTCTAATGTGTGCCAGACACTGAAGGCTGTGTTATGACCAAGTTACATCCTCCAAAATTCTTATGTGATGTCCTCACTGCATTACTTTAAAATGAGAAAGAGTGTTTAAAATGGCAATGAAGGAAAAATCAGGTCATATGGGTACCCTAACCCAATGTGACTGGTGTGGGTATTAGAGGAGTAGGTGGGAACAGAGAAAGGGCATGGAGGACACAGGAAAACTCAGATGCAAACAGCTCACAACTAAATTCAAATTTTGACTCATATAAAATTAAAATAAAAAGCACCTAGGCCAAATGACAATATTAACTAATGGTTACATTCTCTCTGAGTGTGTGTGTGTGTGTGTGTGTGTGTGTGTGTGTGAGTGTGTGTGTGTGTGTGTGTGTGTGTGTGTGTGTGTGTGTTTCTCTGTTCCCCTCCTCGTCTCCCCACCTCTCCTCACCTCCCTCTCACACACACATACATTTCGGTGTCGTTCAAGTTTCTGCTTCTGTGAATTCTAGAGGAAAAGTATTCTGAAATTCAAATAGATGTCATAAGCCTAAAGTCTGTTCAAAACAGTCACTAAAAATAAGAAAACACATAAGTAATTGGGTATTTCAATCTGTATGTAAAGCTAAAATAAGATTCTGGACTCAGCTGGTTAAGGTTCACTTCTACAAACATCCAAGATAATTTTGCAGGTAGGGCTCCAAGGGAAACCAGGCCACTCTGCATCCCCCACAAGCAGCTCTGGGGACCAGGGGAGCTTAGGAGATGGGGTGGACTGGGCCAATCCCCCCACAGCACAAGGGCCAAGACCCAGCAAACAGAGCTGCAAGGTGTAGCCTGGAAACAGGGCAGGTGACACTACCACACGTGCACACTGCCACAACGGCAGCAGCATTGCCCAGCGAGCTAAAAGCAAAATGGCTCTCAGAGACTGCACAACACAGGACAAGATAGGACACAGGGAAATTAACAAGGAAAACAGCTGCTCTGAAGCTACCGAGGGCATTAATTAAGCCATCTCTTAACCTGCAGGAAGGTTTAGATCAAAGACCTTAATTTGCCCCAAAGGCCTTGTTTTTGCCTTGATTTAACAATTCTCACTGGTAGCAATCTGCTGTCCTTGCCACACCAGGCCCAGCCCTGGAGGTTCTGCGGTTCCTCGGGCTTGCCTTTGGTAGCCCCTCAAGGAGAAAAGCTCCCCAGGAAAGAGACAGAGCTTTATTTTTATCCCAGTTAAAGTCCCTGTCCAATCCATTAACAGCCGATAACCTTGGCCTGGGGCATTTCCTAGAGAAGCTGTAACCAGCTGGGGTTAATGAACTCTCCCTACCATTAATTCCTGGGAGAGGCCATTGGCCTGAATTGTTACTTAATTACTCTTCTGTGTACAGCTTCATAAAGCAATGAAATGCCTTCTTTCAGGAAGAAGGGAGATGGTTATGGGGGTCATCAGAGGCCATTAATTCTACAAATAGTTTGTTAGAAACTACAGTATGTTAAGAAGTCACTCTGGTTCACAAATCTCCTCAACTTGGTCCTTAAGTAGAGATCTAAAACTTCACAGCTTTCTATGACTCAAAGACAAGAAGTTCCAAATAGTACAGAATCCGGCCACACACATTCAGGTATAAAGAACGTACTGTAACAGATCCTTCCCCAAAGATGTCAAGAAAAGACCTGATGAAGCCAGTTTAAACTATTGCAGACGTTTCCCATTTTAAAAAGCTGTTATAGGTAATTTCTCAGTCTTTTAGGGAGCTTCTCCCTCTCCAAAGCTCTGCTAGGTCCCAGGATGGGGACTTGCTCAGGGAAAGCTGTGTGTGTCTGAGCTTTTGCATGTATGGAAGATACGTATGGCAGCAGGTGCAGGGAAAGCCATGTAAGTCTGAGCTTTTGCCAGAAAAACTGTCGAGTTTTCCTTCTTCTTTTTGGTGCCCCCAGACCTGCTGGACTCTGGATCCAGTTCTGCACAATCCAAAGTCTCCTTCTGACCAGCAAGCCTCTTCACCCACATCTACACCCCACTTCCAGGCCAGGGGAGACCCAACCACTTTCACTGTACTCCTCAATTTAAAACCGTAAAACCTACACATAAACACACACACAACCCACATCCTTTCTCCTGCCCTCTTCACCTATTTGTTTCTTCATCTCGTTCTTCTCTTATCATATTAAATAAATGGGCTTATTTTGTTGCTACTGTATTACACACACACACACACACACACACCTTAATAAATGAACTCTGTAAGGGCAAACACTTTGGACTGTTTCATTTACTCTTTCCCTACTTCTTAGAATATGAATGACAAAGTAGTCTTAGTTTGTTAAATGAGTTTGTAATTTTTTGGGTACAGATAAGATCAAGCAAGATCAGTGAGAATTTCAGCCAAAAGACCCAGAATTCCCACTTCAGTCAAAATAGGGCAAGAAAGAAGCCTGGCCAGCAGAGAAACGGTGATAAAGGCTGCCTGTCTGTCCCGCAGAAGCTTCTCCTACTTGGGACAGCCTGTGCTGTGAAACCCACACCCACACAGAGGCACTGACTGCAGAGACGCTGAGAAGCCTGACACCCCCCCCCCACTGTGACACGCCGCCCCACCCCGGGTCAGCAGCAGAGTGGCTGCCCTCAAACGTTCCGAGATTCTACTAGAGGGCTTTACTGGGAGAAGCGTAGACTCTTGAGAAGCTAATTGACTAGGGCAGGGCCAGGAAGACAAAACACATCAGAGGAGAGGTAGAGTCTGGAGGAGAAAGTGGGATGGAGAGAAATGAGCAGGGGAAGGGACAGCTTGGTTTTCTGAGCCCTCTGTATAAAGCCAAGGAGGCCAAGCTGGAGCGCAGAGGTGATGTGTTAGGACACGGGACGCAGACACTGGGGCCCTTGGAGCCATACGGAAAGCCACTGAGCTAAAAGGAAGAGGGACTTGGGAGTCACTGATAGCCTCTGTTCTTCCTCTTACCTCATCAAATTCCAAGTCCACTCATATTGGAAAACAATCTCTGTATGTACCTGCTCACAGGAAATTGACTTTTCCAGCCTCACTTCTGTATCCTCACTGTTCAGGACCAACATGGAAGGCTAGGGCTTGTCATGACCAAAATGGGGAATCAGAAAAAGGAAAACTGTTCTTTTGTATCTGGGGAGACTTCTTTACTTCACGAATGGACTCATATCCCCAGTTGATAGATACATCTCTACTGGCATTTTAGGGCATCTACAATGGAAGAACACAAGGAAGACCAGCTAGATAATGAGTAAGTAATCGTGATGAGCTGCCCGCACCCAGGAAGTCTCCATCCACTCGTCCCCCCCTGCCCCTTTCCCAAGCACTCCAGCTCTCTACAAAGAAAAACCTATTATGACTTTCTCATCTAAACTATTAAAGACAGGACTTTATTTTCCAATATCATACTCTACTCCTAAATAAAGCAAAAGTCCCTGAGCCTTATTACCCCATAACAACTTCAAGGACAAAACAATGAATTGACTTACATGTAAGAAAACTACTCACTACAAGCCTCTCATTTTTAAGATTTAAGCCCTAACATGCTCATGGAAATTTTTGCTCTATATAATGCTACAACAAAGCAGAAGTGATAAAAAAAATACTCGATACAAGTATTACATGCACAGGTTTTGAGAACAATTTGCAAAACAGTTGCCAAGGGAAACAATTCTCTCCAATGGTAGAGACTATTTAAGGAAGCAAAGCTTCTCACAAAGCCAGAGTGGAGACGCAGTATTATCTGCACATGGGAAGGGACAGTCTGGAAAAGATGTCCCTTGCTGAGTTGAGAATTATTGACAAATTGTATGCATGGTTAAAAAATATCAGTTTTCAAGAGTGAGGAAGGAAAGCATGTTCCCAGAAAGAACAGGTTTGGTAAACTCCAGGTCTGTCAGATATCCTCCTTGGCCCGGGGATCTTTGCTCTGGAAATAATTGGTCCTGCTTATTGTGGGGCTGAATCTATAGGTCAGAAAAAATATGTCAGATCTTAAGATTGGCCCAGTCAAAGAAGAACATTATCAGCTTGAACATGGACCTCGAAAAGGATATGCAGAGAATAGATGAAGCAAACCAGGAACTACTTCTGAAAATCCAAGAGAAAGAAAATGAGATCCAGAGGTGAGTCTTGGGAAAAATAAGAAAATTCTTCAGGGAAATTCTCAACCTCAAGCAAGAGGAGAAGAAGAGACTCTAGGAAAAAAAAAAGTGTGTGTGTGTGTGTGTGTGTGTGTGTGTGTGTGTGTGTGTGTGTGTGTGTGTGTGTGTGTGTGTGTGTGTGTGTGTGTGTGTGTGTGTGTGTGTGTGTGTGTGTGTGTGTGTGTGTGTGTGTGTGTGTGTGTGTGTGTGTGTGTGTGTGTGTGTCCCCTCTGTTCTTTGGCAGTTTTCTGTGACCAGAACACTAAAATAGCAAGTTTCAAACAAGTTTCTTTGAAACTGGGTAGAGCCTGCCTGAGTTGAGAGAACTTGGGAGTTTGTGAATGAGAATCAGATCTTCCTTTCAGGCCTTGCAAGGCATCTGATTCTGTGGATTCAGTAAAGAAAGGCTTCCCACCTGAGACCCATGCACACACACCATCACTGGAATTCCATCTCCAGTCACTGGTTCACTGCCGATCCCAGGCCCTCACAGGGTGTTGCTTGTATCCTCCAGGCTGGAAAGTGAGATCACCCAGACTGGAGACCCAGCAGAGGAGGAGGAGTGGGAGAAGGAAAACCGTTCCTTACTAGAAGAGGAGGCAGCCTTGCAGGAGCTGGAAGAAGAAACAGCCAGACTGGTAAGCGAGAAGCTGGGGAAGTCACCCATGAGTTCACTCCCCTTCCCGCCCCCACCCATGGTTAGAGAGCAAATCTGTTCACAAAGTCAACTCCAGGGTCAGGATAGAATGTGTCCCGCATGGAAGCGTGTGTGGGGAGGGCAGGGGCTCTCTACTAATGTCAATACAGAGAAGCCGTGTGTCAGCATGCACTTCACCGGTGGCTCGGTGGCCACACCCCCTTATAGTACACAAGTTGTTAGGTCTAACAACTGCAGGAAAACTCTGCTAGGGTGCCAGCCACCACTAGATGATTACAGATGAAGGTAGACCGGTGCAGGTTGAACACTGCTTTTTTCTCTCCGTAGGAAAGGAAGAATGAGACGCTGGTCCACAGTATAACAGAACTTCAGAGAAAGGTGGAGGGGCTTCTGTGTTCCCCAGGGCCCCCTCAGCACCCTCACTTACCAAAGAGGGAGGGATAAGAATGGGTCATGAAGGAAAGTATGTGTCAGAGAAGCCTGGGCTTGGCATGGGCACGACTCTCTGGCCTACTTTCCCAAGCTGCAGCTCATGATCTCAGTGCCATTCATTCTCTCTGCAAGCATGAGGAGGAAGGAGTGAGCGGTATGTGTAATGACCCCATGGGTTCTTTATTTTGTCACAAGAAAATGTATTCCAACAGGTACTCTGGTCCAAGTGACTGGGACTGCTACAGTGACAGGTTAATTTTACTTTCCACAGACTTTAAAACTCTCTCTCTCTCTCTCTCTCTCTCTCACACACACACACACACACACACACACACACACACACACACACACACACACATACCCTAAGTCACTTAATCACCTAAAACTACTTGTCTAGTCACATCTTCTACCTCAGGTCCCAGTGCCCTTGGGTGGTCTAGCATGCAGCAGAAGCTCATGGACACCCCCCCAGCCCCGCATCGGTGTCTCCAATCGGGTAACAGGACTAGTGAGGAGAGGAGTGGTAGTACAGGTTTCCATGAGAAACTGAGTACCTCCCCAGTGACCACCTCCAAACATTTGCATCAAGCCACAGTGCAGTCCACACACACTAGAGGATCTTTTCTGTTTACACTGATTCCTTTTAACCTAAGTCTTTATTTGAACTGTAGCTTACGAGGAAGTCATACAAGACAACCAAGTTCGAACAAGGCAGTCTGGACAGAACCCCAGAAGAGTCAAAGGTAAATAGAAATTGCAGTCCCAACGGGATTGGGCTACGGGATACACAGCTGTCAAGTTGGAAGCAACGGCCAAGATTTTGAGAAGCTATTTCTCCCCTAGCAGGCATAAGCTTGAGCCACTGAATCCTGGACTCTCTTTCTTGCCCTTGGTGAAGAGTTTCACTCTGTTCTCCCTGCTATCTGGCAGAGCAGCACACAAATCCTATAATATACCTAAGGCTGCTGAAGCTCCTCCATTGAAACCCTGGCTCCAGGGCTTGTTAGCCTGGTATGTTAGCCTGGGCTCTTAAATTACCCCTCTCAGTCTCTGTTCCAGAATTAAATAAGATTGTGTATAAAAATATTCTTTCTTTGATTCCATGGCTAAACCCTCACAAAGTCACAAGATTTTAAAGTTGTTATTTAAAAGCCTAGCTAAAGCACATATATGTGTTCATAAAGAAAGAGGCCGTGTAAGTCTGCTGAGTGCTAAGCAATTCAGACGCCCAATGAGGACTTACTCAATTAGCCACTCGGCATTTAACGACCTCTCCTTCCTAATCATATGACAATGTTCAGCATTTCTCTTAATGATATTCCAGATGTAAGAACCATAATTCATCTGGTCAAAAACAAGAACTAAGATTTTTTGTATTCAGAAAGCAAATAACATTCTTTCTTTTAAAATTATTCATATCAATTAATTGTACAGTCTTGACCTTTTCTCCAGAACCACAGTATTTGTCCTAATCTAACTTTTAAAACCCATGTGTTCTGTGTGCGTGAAGCCTCTGAGGAAATGTACACATTAAATACAGGAGCAGATTCCAGGCTCTCAACAGAGTCCAGGCTCACACCTGTCACCCTAGCTACTCAGATGGCTGAGATCTGAGGCCAACCTGGTCAGAAACATCCACAAGATAGACTCTTATCTCCAATTAATAACCAAAAAGACAAAAATGGAGCTGTGGCCCAAGTGGTAGAGATCTAGCCTTGAGCAAAAAAAAGCTCAGGAACAGTGCTCAAGCCCTGAATTCAAGCCCCACAAATAAGATTGTATGTTCATACTTTAAACCCACTCTTCCTTTCTTAGTGGAGTGAGAATGAAGATTCAAATCCCTTCTAGAAGCTATAAGACTATACATAATCTAGTCTCAGATGGCCTTTCCCTCCTTTTCTTCTTCCTGCCACCCTCTTCTTCTTCCTGTGCACTGCTTCCTGGCAGTAAACCCCCATGGACCATGTCCCTTCTGAATCTCCGTTTGAGTGATGTTGATAACCTTGATTCCAATTCAAATATCACATTTTTATTTGCCTGGTGTCAAATATGGAGCACAACATTATCATGCTCTTTTGCTGAATCTCTCAACAAAATATCATCTGTATAGGGAAAAGGCCTGTCAGTCCCATTTCCCACAACTGCCTTGGATACAGAAGCAGTAATACAGAATAGTCTTTCAGCAAATATTGAAGGAAAGAAAAGAGCGAAAGAGGAATACAGAAGGTATAAAAGAGTGAGCAAGGAAGTGGCACTATGGCTCAAGTGGTAGAGCGCTAGCCTTGAGCTGAAGAGCTGAGGGACAGCGCCCAGGCCCAGAGTTCAAGCCCCATGACTGACAAAACAAAACAAAAGTGAGCAAGGGGTTGGAGGTACAGCTCAGTTAGTAGAGCACTAGCCAATGAGAGAAAACATGAAATACCAAGTTCAAGTCCTGGTCTTGAACCAAAGAATACAGAGATAGGGAGAGAGTGCGCAAAAACTGTCCAGTCAAACTGACTTCATAAAAGAGTAAAGTTTTCCAATATTAGAGTAATTTCCAATGGAAGTAGCTTAGTAAGAGAAGGAAGCAAAAAATGCTGAAGCTCGCTCGGGGACAGGTAGCAGCAGACAGACGCTCTGTGTAAACATTCTTCAAGCACCTGTAGGGAGCACTGGGAGGCTTCACTCCCCACCAACACCTGAAACTGTGAGACAGGCTTCAAGGGAGCCCGCCAACCCTGCGGCCTGTACCTCTACACTCACCACCCCCTTCCTTTCTGCAGATGAAGCTGCAGCAACTGGAAACTTCCTGCACAGACCAAGAGAAGGAGCTGGCCAAGGTAACACCGACTGACTTCACTGATAAGTCTCCCCAAGAAAGGGAAACATGACCCTAAGCCAGTTCCAGTACATTCCTCAAATGACTGATGTATATTCCTGACTCAGGAACATTATGAGGCTAGGATGGGGTAAGAAAAGGAATGTGGATATACAATCCTCAGATTGCCTTCACCTTAACTTGTTCCCTGTAAACCAGTATGTTAATATCTGTCCCTCTTCCAACTGCCTCCAGCAATTTCTAGTTGAGCTGTAAAATAGGGTTTATCTGGGGAAAATGAGATGAATTCAGATGTACAACCGAATAACATTTAGAACAATTAGAAAACCACACTGGTTCTATGACATAGCTTATACTCCTGTTCGGGAGCAATGTACTGAGAGAAATGTAAGGCCAGTGTTGGTTTCCAGGTAATGCAAGACTATGCGCTTGTGGCTCAGCTCTGTGAAGACCAAGCCCTCTGCATAAAGGTATGGACAGCTGCCCAGGCCGGGGACAGCGGGAGCTTGTTAAGGTACACGTTGAACGGGAACCAGGCTGCTCAAGGAGGGCTAGCTAGAAGCATTTTAACTCTTCAACATGGCAGTGCAGAGATTTCAAGGTCATCAGTCCCATCACCCCCCCCACACACACCCAATGTCACTCTAATGTCCTGGCATCCTTAGATGAATGACCAGTACTTCTGCTATTTCTCACCTTACTGACCCTGGAGAAGCTAGCCAGTGCTGAGGTGCAGTGAGAAATCAGGAACGGTGGAGGTGGCGGTTGGGGTCTCTTGAAGGAGGGCGTGATGGTGGGAATACCAAACACTCACACTGGTGAGTAATAAGTAGTCGTTGCATGCTTAGGAAAATCATGAAATATCTAAGTCATAACTAACTTCCTTTGTCTTTGAAGAAGTACCAAGAAACTTTGAGAAGAATAGAAGAAGAACTAGAGACCCAATTCCTTGAGAGAGAAGTGTGAGCGTTGGCAGAGGAGCAGCCTGGTTTAGTGGTAACCCCATCTCAGCCTGAGTCGGAGCACATGCACCAGCCCAGTTCCTCTCTGGAACTGAGTGGGCCCAGCACTCTTTCCCTCCTCTGTCACCTGCTTTAGCCCTGCTAGACCACACCAACTTTAAAACTCCAGTCTTAAAGGCCACAGAAACCTATCTCCCTTCATAATCTCATCACACTGTTATTTGGGCTGATATCATGAAACATGTATTTTTAAAAGTGTTAGTGGGCAAGGATTTCGGTAAGGGGAATATTCTCTTATATTTCAAAGAAAGACCTTAAAATTAATACCATCCTCACTTCACAGACACCTACGGGATAGGCCTGTAACTCCCCTCTAAACACACTACAGCTAATACATTACGAAACCAGAACCATACAATGCATTTAATGAGGAACATCAAAAATTACAAGTCATAAAGGAAAATCTGCCCCCGGCCAAATTCCTGTTTGTCAAAAATATAAATGCTATCAGTCCAAAATGGAAAAACTTACCCCTATTTTTCACCCTCTTTGAAAGTGAAATACTAACTCAGTCAAAAAGTATTTCTGTTTATTAAATATTTGAGGATGTTCAGATCAAGAACAAAAGGCCAAAACCAGACAGGTCCTCTGGGATGTCCTATAAGGACAGCAGTCTAGCAGCTGGAATCCTAAGCATGGAGGTCCTTGCTCCTAAAGAATGTTTCCCTTCAAGTCTATCACTAGGGTGGGCCTGACAGTCACACTATGATACTAGAAGAGCGCTGCCTAACAGAACATTCTGTGCTATCCAAAAGGGAGCCACAGGTGACAACTGAGCACTTTGGAAAGATGGCTAGTGTCACAGAGGAGCTGAAGTTTTAGTTTCATTAATGTAAATTAAACCAGCTATAGTGACTACAATATTGAACTGTTTGTAAATAGCACTCCCGTATTATGAGTGCTTGAATGCTTTGTTCAATCTCTTTCTTGGCTCTTTTCCTCACAGATCAAAAGTCTTAAGCATGGACTCTGTGAGAAACACTCAAGATAGCCAAAATCACAAGGTGAGCACTTCATTTTCTCTTCAGCCCTTCTCAGCCTTTCCAAGAAGTTTTAAAAGCTACATAGCAGTAGGTACATACCCAATCTTCCTATGTGCATGTTCCAAGAGTTGCCAGCCTTAGTTCCAAGGAATCTAACTCTAAACAACAGGATAAAAAAAGATGCTAAGAAACAATATGATTCCTGTTCTTCCACCTATGCAAATAAAAGTCACCCCAGACACCTCCTATAAGACTTGTGTTGCAAATGTAAGTAGAGAGGATGATTCATTGAATATATGCTGCAGAAAGAGGTGGATGCATGGTGCGTACACCACCCCTCTTCCTTCTCCTCCAACCACAGTACTCTTTTCTATTCATCCCAACACGGTCCCAAACTTTTCACAGAGCACCAGATACCTGTCACCATTTAATTTCAGTTAGCCCATGAGCTACTAAAACATAGAAAGCCATTGCTTCTTCATGGTACAACTTCTGCGTCTCTCCATAGTCAGCCTCATGAAGTTAGTAGCTTTCATGCAAAGCTCTGAAAGATGCAGAACTTCCCCATGCAGGGACCTGTCCTTCTAGCTTGCTTGCTGTCATGTGGCATCAGGCACACTGGTTCAACAGACAGACTTCTACGTGCTAATTTTATGAGTTACACTGGCTTGAAGTCACCAGAAATCTTATATAGCTAAGAGAGTCTCAATGACCTCAGGAAAAAGAACTCATCTCTTTAAAACATAAGTTACTGTCCCGTATCCAGAGACTACCCAGATGTCTGAGTATCTGTGAGAACATAGCCGTGGTGACCACATTCTGCACAAGTCATTCTGGCACATTCAAGCCAACAGACTCCTAAATTTAACTGGACCCAGTTTTGCAAAATCAGGCTTAGCCTGCTCTACCAGCTACATGATGCTTTTTCTTCCATTTGTTTTTTTCATTGACGGATGGCACTCTTGAACCACACCTCTAGTCCTGGCTTTTTGCTGTTAATTGCAGATGAGTCTTAGATTTATGTTCCTCAGCTGACTTTGAACCTCAATCCTCAGATCTCAGCCTCCTAAATAACTAGGATTACAACTGTAAGCCACCTGGACCCAGCTTTTCTTCCTTTTGATCACATACGTAAGATAAAAAGACAATGAAATAACTGAAAATAATTTGGGAGAGTGGTGTCACAAAAATCAAGACTTCTTACTTTTACATTTTTGTAGCTTTTAAAACTTGTCTCAGGATATGTTTGTGTGGTTCTCATAGCCTAGAGAGCAAGAAGGTAAAGGCAAAAGATCCAGTATCCAGGCCTGGCCTAGAAATATTATAGCCTCTTACTGGCTACATGATTTTGTACAAAACGATAGTTTCAGTACGACTAGGTTCCAGCATGGTGGTACAGACTTGGGAGGCCAGCTTTGAACTACATAGTAAGACCCCATCAAAAAGAGCCAACAAGCATGCCAGTCACAGTGGGCCATAGCTCTAATTCCAGCTAGAGGTGAGGTACAGATCAGACTAGCCCTAATCTAGGCAAAAAGTTAGTGAGATCCCACTCTCAATAAATAAGCTAGGTGTAGTGGCAGTAACTGTGATCCAAGCTGCTCTGGAGATGTCACTGTCCCAGACCTTATCTGAAACGTAACGGAAAACATAAAGCACTAAAAGTGTGGTTCCAATGGTGGAGAGCTGGTCTGGCAAGTACAGAGCACAGAGTTCCAACCCCAGTTCTCTAGTAGAATAATCATCGTAATAGCAATGATATGTTAAAACTGATCTTTGAAATTACGTGTGCTGTACATATGAAAAGAATGTGTGTGATGTTACGTAAATGTTGCATTTTGCTAATGACTTGCTGAATATCATTTGTCAATGATAACAACTTCCACAAATCACTTATTTATCAATGCCCTTTCTTTTTCTTGTAGTATAATTCTATTCTTAAAAGGTCAACATTGTTCGGTAAAAGGTACGCAAAATATCTTCAAGGTAACTTCCTGGGAAACTAGAACTCTACCCTGGCCATCCTGACAGAGAAGCCACATATAGATGAGGAGAGCCTTGGAGGCGTGCACAAGCACGCGCACACACACAGATGCACACACACACACAGAGATGCACGCATGCACTCACACATACAAACACACACACATACATACTTACGTCAGCAAACTAGAGTCACCATGTATCTCAGTTCTAGAGTTATGATGTCCTTGTCTAAAGTATATTATTAATCTCAGCTTTCCAGAATTAGAAACCAAAACCCTCAAATAATGAGAAACGGGATCTGATCACATGAGAGAAGGTGAAATACTGTTTCTCCCTTTAACAATTAGAAATAGCTTCAAGTATGCATTTTTCCATAGCATGGACAGACTAGAAATGAGGAAGGAAGTCCCAGCTGGAAGCCCAGCAGCACCCTAGAGCAGACAGGAAGAGACAACTGCGAAAGGAGGGACCTAATCATGTCCAGCACATGACAACTGCTAGAAAAAAAATACTTGTTAGCCAAGTAAGAACTCAAAGATTTGAACACCTGCATGGATATTACTCTCAAGGGAACGGTGCAATGGCAAAGTGAAATTGGTATTCACGAGGCTCCCACATTTTCAAGAAAAAAAAAGGTCAAATTACATTCCCTATGATCTGTTTGAGAAGACATAAAAACAAAGTCAAAAAAATTCAAAGTGGTCTGGAATAGGTTTAGAAAGAGTTCCATCAAAATGGTTAAAATTATGGGTGCTTAAAGGTCAGCTCCAATTGTCTGGAGATTTATCTCAAGGAGATACCCTTTTATACCATGTAAGTGAGGTGCTGTGTATCCCACATTTCTGCAGCAACCAGCACAACTCCCCAGAACTCTGCTCCTCTGGAAGGACTGCCCTAGCTAAGCAGCCCCTGCCTGATGAGCGGCATCGTTCCCAGGGACCTGATGAAAACGCCATCTCTTTTGTAGGGAAAGTTCAAGATGAAAGCTAGGCTGTCCCTGGGATCTCCCCTGAGAACAGACTCCCAGAACCTTCTCATCCCAGAACCTTCTCATCCAAAGTGGATCTGGTTTCAGGTTTAGGAGGAGGAGGAGATTTGTCAAGAGCTCTGATTCCAATTCTGACCAGGATGTTGTGCTAGAATGGCTCCTGTCACAAGGGTCAACCATAGAGAGGGACATTGGAGAGAGCTGGGGGAGGGGTGGTTTCTGTGGGGTAAGTGGGGGTAGGAAGAGCATCTACCCTGAGGCAGAAGGAGCCAGTATTTGTTGGGTAGGGAAAATGTACTTGTTGAAATTGTTTTGTTTTTGTTGTTGTTGCTGTTATTATTATTATTGTTTATTGTGGTATGGGGACTGCATGCAAAACATTTTAAATAAGAAAAGTTAATTTTTAAAAATCAAGATTTTCAGAGTTTATAAACAATAGGAAATATTAAAGATAACATGGATGAAATAAGAGAAATACCATGAACATAGATTTAAAAAATACTTATATGGTCTCCAAAAGATTACCAGATTCAATTCAGTTTCAATTTCCCCAAAGGTTACTTTATAGAATTGAATAAAATGAAAACCCTAAATCTGTAGTAGATAAATTAGCAAAAGAAAGCACAGAAGACCAACAAAGCTATAAACAGGTGTTCAGTAACACTGAGCCTAGGGGACATGCAAACAGCTCAGATGAGATTTGTCATTCCCATTTGACTGGCAAACTTCTCTGATGCTATCAAGTGTTGGAGAAGAATGTGGGTACACAGAACTACCCTGCTAATGAGGTACAATTTGATGCAATGGCTTTGAAAAACAATCTACCAAGACAAAAATTACATTTAAAACAAAAATAACCCGGCATGGTGGCACATGCCTGTAATCCAGTAACTATCGGGGCTGAAACAGGAGGGTCAGAAGTTAGAGGCCAACCTGAGCTACATAGTGAGACCTGTTGGAAAAAACAACGATGGCTGAGGATACGGTTCAATTTTTGCCTAGCATGTACAGGACTCTGGGTTTCACATAGTGGTAAATGCTACCAAAAATTAAACCATGCTGTGAAAGAAAAGGCTAGGAAAGGAAGACGACCTTTAGTGGGAGATACTGAGATACCAAGAAGGAACCAACTGCAGTCAGTGATGGCTTAGAGTTCTGGTCTTAACCACTAACAGTTTCTTGTCTTTCTCTTCTCAGGATTTTTCGTACTCTCTTTTTTACCACTCTATTTTTCACAAGACTGCTGGGATACCTAGTCTTCCACTTAAGTTTTATAAATCCAGATATCCTGGTCAACATACTGCCCAAAGTCCTGAGCAGGAGCATCTTGTGGAGGCTGAGATGTTCCCTCTGTCCATCGCTCACCCTGGAGACCGAGGGCGTGTTACCTCACTGATCCTCAGCCGGACCCTCGGGCAATCGGAGGCGCGTGGGACCCAAGACTTACAGACGGGAGATGGTAGCACTGATGGAGAAAAGAGGGTTTCCTCAGCTCCTTCCCTGGAGGTTTGCCAACCTGACCACTTTTTACTCCTTGGTCACTTTCCCAACATGAAGCTTGCTCGATAAAAAACTGTGGCTAAGTTTCTGTGCCTATATGAATAAGCTAAATTGAGTCCGACGGCAACCGAACCTGAAAGATTTTCAAATTATGAAGATGTTAAACCAAGTTAGAGTGGTTCACAGTGGCCCACCTCTGCAATTCTAGCTATTTTGGAAGTAGAGACTAGAGGGCTGTGGCTCAATGCCGTCCCTGGGGAAAAGGCCACAAGATGCCGTCTTCAACAACGACAGGAAACATCAATAGGAGACTCACAGTCCTGGACACCAGGACATCATCCTGAGACCTTATTCAAACAATAACTAGAGCAAAAAGGACTAGAGGATAGTTCAAGTGGTAAAGCATCCGCCAACCAAACGCAAGGCCCTGAGTTCAAACCCCAGAACCATACACACACACACATCAAATTAAAAAAGAGAAAACAACAATTTGATCAATGATTCTAGTGAATCTTAAAAGTCAAAAAAAGATGGATTCCTGAAATGCTGCTCACTATACTAGGACATATAACCTTCACTTAAGCTAGTGTGTGTGTATATATATGTTTGTATGTATATATATGTATATATACATGCATGCGTATGTCCTCATTCAAAGACATTCCTCATTCATTCAATGAGACATTTCTCATTCAAAGAGATTAGTATAACAGAGATTAGTATAATCCCAGTTCCTCAGGAGGCTGAGACAGGAGATCCTACGTTCAAGGCCAGCAATAACATCTCAGAAAACAAAACACAACCACAAAAAAATTTTTCACTAATAGATCTGGAGTTTCAGGCAAAGCATATTCAGAAGCCCTAAAATAACATCAGGGGCTTCAACTCTTTTTCTCCTCCTCTCTGAATGGTCATTCTCATACTTTAGTGGCAAGATGGCCATAGGCAGCCTCAATTCCACACTAACAGATAAGGAGGATTGGTCTTATCAAATAGTTCCAACAGCAAAGAGGCAAAGTGGTGCTCTGAGTTCAACTACCTAGGCCTGTTCTATAGTCACTGTGGCCAAAAAGACCTGAGTGCTGACAGGCAAGGCCGCCTTGAGAGGGATGACTTAAAGGAGTCAGGCATTGCTCACAGAGGAAGAGGTTGAGTTTCCAGTGGAAGGGAAAACGCGGAGCAGGCAAAAACAGACAGACGTCCATGTGATCATTAAGCGATAGCAATTACACTCCTAAAGCCATAGATCACTAAATATGTCTTCCTACCAGCAAACACTATTACATGTCATAGACTGAGAGGCAGGGAAATAACTGCAGAGAGCTCAGGGTAAGAACCATGCCATTAATCATGTTTCTTGAGCTCTGTTGAGCACAAGAACTGCTGCACAAACTCAGGGTAGCCTTTAATTTTTCCAACGATTTTAGCTAAAAATCACTGAACTGCATGCACTCATGGTTCATTAATATGATGTATTCAACTTTCCTCTAAGCATTCTCTCTCTCCCCTAAATCGTCAGGATCCTTGACAGCTCTGAGGTTTGTGGGCCACAAGGGGACATCCTAGCTTCCATGCTGGCCAGGAATGAACTTGAGATGCGTTGTTCCACTGCCATTACTTCTTGAGACCACACAGTGTCGCTATTGGAAAAAGATCCTTCCCAAGGTGGTGAGACCGAGTCCCGGGGAGACACACACACTTGACAAACCATCAGAAGGGCCCATTTTGGAAAGTGTTACGTGTAGCTGGAGATCTCTGTCCACTGTGGGCTGTGTAGAAGCAACAGGGTCCCATGCTGTAGTGCGCTTCAGACACACCACGCTCGCGGTCAAGGCACCTCCACTTTCTCTCACGGAAGCAGCCCCCTGCTCAAGTTGCAAGCAGCAAGACGAACTGGTTTCCACCTGCCTCCCCCTCCCTAGCCGGGAAAACTTCCCACAAAGTCATCCTGCTCTCAGGAGCTCACCTCCTCCTCTCAGAGGAGTGTACAGACACTTTCCACACACTTCTGAAACTTCTCCATGGAAAGGAGACAATTCGGTTGTGTAAAATTTATCTTAATAGTATATCTTATTGCATATTTTAAATATACCGTAAATGTGTTTTCTCAGCTGAAGCTATTCAAAATAATGCTAAGAAAATTGTTCGGAAGTCTTTGTAGAGGACTCTAACCCCAAATTCCACTTTAAAAATCTATAGAATTGCCAGGCACCAATGGCTCACGCCTGTCATCCTAGCTACTCAGGAGGCTGAGATCTGAGGATCACGGTTCAAAGCCAGCCTGGGCAGGAACGTCCATGAGACTCTGATCTCCAATAAACCACTAGAAAACCAGAGTGGCACTGTGGCTCAAGTGGTATAGCACTTGCCTTGAGCTGAAGAGCTGAGGGACAGCGCCCAGGCCCAGAGTCAAGCCCCACAACCGACAAAAAAAAAAAAAAAGATCTATAGAATTGCCTCTTTTGTGATTTTCAGGTAAACGTGAGGTACACTGCAGTCAGTGCACTGTCCAGTAGCCAGGTATGGGCATGAAGGTTCAGACAGCTGCTCAGAAGGTAAAGAGGGCCAACTTAAAAGTTGTCTCAGAAGACAGGAAGCTGGCAAGGTGGATTTCACCCTGTATTGTTACTGGATGTGAACCCATGGTGTGTTATATGAAGAGGAAGGAGAGAGATGGAGAGGCAGCGATTTGGGGGGGGGGAATGGAAGGAAAGGGTGGAGAGAAGGCGGCACCGGTCAACCCCTTGGCAGAGTAAACTGTTGACACTAAACTGTTCTTTTGTTTTTGTGGTTTTTTGGTTTTTCTTTTTTGCCAGTCCTGGGGCTTGAACTCAGGGTCTGAGCACGGCCCATGAACTTCTTTTGCTTAAGGCTAGAGCTCTGCCACTTGAGCCACAACCACTTCCATCTTTTCTCTTTATGTGGTACTGAGGAATCGAACCCAGGGCTTCGTGCATGTTGGTCAAAGCCCTCTGCCACCGAGCCACCTCCCCGGCCCTGACACTGAACTGTTTTAGACTGCGCCTTTGTTCCATCACAGCTGCTAACTGGGTGGGCTGCCTTTCAGAAACGGAGCTCAGAGGGATTATCCCATTCTTTCTGACGAGCAAAAGTCACGTCAGCTGTCCCGGGCTTGCAGGGAGAAGGGACAGGCACATTCGGGTGGCGCCCACAAGTCACCCTCTACCCAAAAACGACGGCGGGGCGCTGGGGGCTGAGGGCGTCACGCCTGCAGGGCGGGGCCTGGCTGCGGCCTCCACCAGGCGTGCGGCCTCGGATTTTCCTCGCCGGCAGTAGAGGGCGCGCTGTCCCCCGAGTCAGGGAGGCCCGGTTCGCCTCCACGGGTGTAAATGAGGCCACAGCCGAGGGCTCCCGGTTCCCCAGGCCCGCCGGCCAGAGCCGCGTCTCCTAGGGTGCCGGGCACACCGGCCTCTGCGGCCCACGGCTGTCACCTGCTCCAGCCGTGCGCCCAGAAGCCCGCCCTCGCGGGGCGTGTCCCCCACCGATGCCCTCTCCGCCTCCTCGGGGCCGCGGCCCGCCACGCGGCGCACTGGAACGCCTACTTTTACCGCTGGTTGTTCCGCGGTGACTCGGGAGAGACCTGGGAAGCCGAGGCGCCCGTCACGCCCGTCTGTTATGCAAGCCCGAGGACGCAGTGCCCGCTTTGGCCACCCGATGGCGCCCGCCTCCGGAAGATGCCCTCCACGAGCCGGGCGAAGCCACGCGGCCCCGGCCGCGCGCGGGCTGCACGCGGGGGCTTCCGCGCCCCGGGCTGCTCCCCCCCGCCCCCTCCACGGACACGCGCGGAGCTCTCATCAGCCCACACCGTCCATCTTTACCCACCCGAGAGCAGGGCGGCTGCGGACGGGGTCCCGAGCCGAGCGGCCCGGGACGGCTGGCAGCTGTGGACGGGTCCGGAACGGGGCGGCCCGGGACGGCGGGCGGCCTAGGTGAAGCTGTGTCCACTGTGAAACTGTGTGCATATATCATACATACATACATATATATTATAATGTGTTATCCATGCTTATATATATATATACACACAACCTTTTATTTTTACTCATCTTTAATGCTGGTCCTGGGCCTTCCACAGGGCCTGGGCGCTGACCCTGAGCTGGTTTAGCTCCAGGCCAGCGTGCGCCGTGACCCGGCGGCAGCTCCCCTCGGGCCTGTCTGGCAGGTCACTGGCCGCAGCTCCCCTCGGGCCTGTCTGGCAGGTCACTGGCCGCAGCTCCCCTCGGGCCTGTCTGGCAGGTCACTGGCCGCAGCTCCCCTCGGGCCTGTCTGGCAGGTCACTGGCCGCAGCTCCCCTCGGGCCTGTCTGGCAGGTCACTGGCCGCAGCTCCCCTCGGGCCTGTCTGGCAGGTCACTGGCGGCCTTCCTGGCCGGGCGGGCGTCGGGCTGCGATCCTCGGGCCCCGGCCTCCCGGAGCTGGGATGGCAGGCCTGGCCACCGCGGGCTCTCAGTGCTGCCGGGACCCGAAGGGGAGCGGCAGGCCGGACGCCGCGCCTTCCAGCCTGGGTGCAGAGGACACAGGAAGAGTGGGCCCTGCTGAGCCCTCAGATGCCCTCTGCCTGTAATAACCAAGATCCCGCCACCGCCGCTGCTTTGTGTGACTCCAGATGTGTCAAAGCTGGGATGACGTCTCTAAACGCCTAAGAAGAGCTCAGGAGCCACGGACGCTGCCAAGTGGCACCAGCGACCAGGTGTCTAAACCATTCCTAAAAGCATGGCACCTGTCAACACCAAAACCCTCTCAACTTTAGAAAGAGAAAACCAACACAAAGTTGTCCAGTCCGTTCCCCCATGCTGAGCACCAGGAGCAAGGCGACAGGGGCCTGGAAGGCGTTCACAGCTGCATCGGGGACTGCCCGGCACACGTCCCCACGCTGG